GGACCGCGAGTTGAGCGGCGCCTGGGGCTCGGCCGTTCGCCGTACTCGTTCCGCATGGACATTCTACGGCCGTCCGGAACAACATACATACACCTACACAGTCATACACAAACACCAAAATACATACAAATCACCCATCACTTTTACATTATGCTCCACGTACACAAACACATATTTCGAACACCTCAAATTTACAGACGTACGCTAACACACAGCCAACACCCACTCCAGCACCTTTTACCCAACAACCGACACAAGCACAAAATTTGTCGTTCAGTGCTGAGGGTGGTAGAGTATTTTATACTAATAGCACTTTGTCTCAGTTGCAGGTTCCAGGAGCATTGACTCTACAGGAGGACCAAAACTACCAACGTGGGCTATATGTAGGACAAGGCGATGCATCTTTCCGTCCGAGGGATATGCAGTATGAGAACACAGATCAAAGGTATGCTAATTATCATATATAGAATATTATTTTGAAAGATGGTTAAGAACATGTAAAATAGCAAATACACTATTTTAATAACCCGTTCAAATTTGCCGCGTAAGGCACCGATAAGGAAGAGAGCGTAGAAGATAAGGAAGAGAGACGGGCCCAGAATATAATTCCGCTCTAGGTATTATTATTATTATTATTATTATTTCGTGCGGTAATAGACAATAAATGTGGCGTTCGTTATTAAGAGGGAAAGTAAAAGAGGAAGTAGGAAAGAGCTTCAAATGTCGTTTCTCATATTTCAGGTGAGAAATCTGTAAATAGTGTAATATAGTACTAATGTTGTAATGTAACGATTTCAATCAATTATAAACTCATATTTCAGTGAAACACAGTGAAGTTTATTTCCCACGAACAAATATTACCCGGATCAAGAAAAATACATTATAAAACGACATTTTTGCGTAATTACAATGGAGAAACTACGATTTGAATTTGTGGTAAAGTCAGAAACAGATCCAAAAACGAACGTGTTAGCCATAACCTCAATCGAGACACCATGTGGCGAGAGATATAAAATTCCAGTAGAATACCAGAATGTGAGACATCATGAAAAATTGACAACAACGGAAATTTTTAAAAGAATAAAAACCACGCTCAAAACAAGGCACCAATCTAGGAAAGTGTGGATTGCATTAAACGAACAATTACGAGATACTTATTTGGATGAGGATGAAAATATAAAATACGGGCAATACTATTTAGAAGAAATTACAAACAAACCAGATTCTACCAGCACTACAGAAGATATATTGAGAAGATTTTTGGAAGAAACCAACGTGAAGAAGGTGACAGAAAAATTTGTAATTGAAAAATTTACGGGCAAGAATGCGAATGGAGTTCAGTGGTTAGATACATTTGAAAAAGAATGCAATCGGTTGAAGATACAGAAAGATGAAGAAAAAATTGAAATTCTTAGATTATTCTTAGAAAGCTCTTGCTTAGACTGGTATAGCTCTATGTTAATAAAACACTCCATTACATCGGAATGGGAGATTTGGAAAAACAACTTTTATGAAACATATGCAGATAAAGGTTGGTCTTCAATTAAATATGCCATATGGTATAAATACATGAGTGGTTCTTTATTAGATTATGCTTTGAAAAAAGAGAAACTTTTATTAGAAGTAAATAAGACAATAGATACATGTACATTGATAGATCTTATGGCAGTAGGATTACCAGAATTTATAATAAACAAAATTGACAGACAAAAGCTGAAGGTAAATGAAGATCTATTCAGAGAATTACGCGGCCTAGAGCATATGATAAAAAAGAAAAACATAGAAAATAAAACCTTTAATAAATATGTTAAAGACGATCCAGAGAAAAAACAACAAAAAAGACCTTGCAAAATTTGCGAAAAAAAAGGTAAAATGAATAGATTTCACCCGGAATCAGCATGCTGGTTTAAAGTAAATGAAAATGATAACAAAGAGAAAAACCAAATAAAATTTGTAAATAATACAGAATTAGAATCAGAATTAGTTAACATGGAACAAAAAAACTTGTAATCCCACCATTAATCAAAATAAAATTGCAACTACAAGACACTATAGAAGTAACGGGAATATATGACTCAGGGTCAAATGTTTCTCTAATAAACTCAAAAATATTAAAACTAAAAACGGAAAAAACAGAAAATGTGCAAAGCGCAAATTTATTGACGATTAATGGTGTGGAAAAAACTAAAGGAATGGTAACAATGAAAGTAAAAATCTTCGATATTGAAAAAACTGTAGATATCTTCGTAATTGATAGAGACACTTTTCAGTATGATTTCCTAATTGGATTAGATATGATAAAGAGTTTTCAACTAATCCAAGACGAAAACTTAGAGATAAAACAGAAAGGATACGAGAAGATTATACAAAGATATTCAGAAGAAGAGGAAGAAAACAATAATGTTCTAGATAAATACTTAATAAATTTTAATGAATACATTAATATAGAAAATTTTAATATTTCAGTAGATCACTTAGATAAGGAAAAAAGAACGGAAATAAACAGACTACTAAATGAATATGGTTTAAGCTTTGCTAAAGATAAATACGATGTGGGTACAGTAAAAGATTATGAAGCTAGGATTGACCTACAAATAGACAAATATTGTAGTAAAAGGCCGTACAAATGCAGTGTTGAAGATAGGAAGGAGATAGAAACACAAATCGCGAGATTGCTTCAAGAAAACTTAATAGAAGAGTCATACAGTCCTTTTGCAGCTCCAATAACTTTAGCACTTAAAAGAGAAGAAAATAAGAAAACAAGATTATGCTGTGATTTCAGAGAATTGAACAAGATTGTTATACCACAATCACAACCTTTTCCTCAAATAGAAGATTTAGTGACGAAGGCTAGAAATTGTAGATTTTTTTCGATACTAGACATTAATTCAGCGTTTTGGTCAATCCCGTTACGAGTAAAAGATAGGAAGAAAACAGCATTCGTCACACAGGAGGGACATTACCAATGGACATGTCTACCGTTTGGACTAAAAACCTCACCAGCAATATTTCAAAGAATACTAAGTAATATAATAAGGAAATATAAACTTACAAACTTCACAGTAAATTATATAGATGATATACTAGTTTTTTCGAAAACTTTCGTAGAACACATAAATCATTTAACACAATTATTGGAAGCAATACAAAAAGAAGGATTTAGACTAAAATTCTCTAAGTGTAGATTTGCAGAAAATTCGGTGAAATATCTAGGACATATAATAAGTAACAATTCAATAAGACCAATGAATGATAATTTGATTTCGATAAAAGACTTTCCGATTCCAAAAACTCAAAAACATATTAGACAATTTTTAGAAAAAGTAAATTTCTATAATAAATATATACCAAACCAAACTATAATATTAGATCCATTACATAACCTTTTGAGAAAAGGACAACAATTTATTTGGACCACAGAATGCCAAAACGCATTCGACAAAATGAAACAACTACTATGTTCTCAACCAGTATTAGAAATATACGACCCAGATCTTCAAATCTACATTTACACAGATGCGAGTTTACAAGGCATAGGAGCAGTAATGAAACAAAAACAACTTAATAACCAAGAAAAACCAGTAGCCTATTTCTCAAAAAAATTAAAGGACAGCCAGAAGAAAAAAAAAGCCATATATTTAGAATGTCTTGCAATAAAAAAAGCATTACAATATTGGCAATATTGGCTCATAGGAAAGTCATTTACAGTTTTTTCAGATCATAAACCCTTAGAAAATCTGAACATAAAATCAAGAACAGATGAAGATCTGGGAGACTTGACGTATTACCTGTCGCAATAC